AAAAACTCAAGAAAAATATGAGCAAATTAGAAAAAAGAGGCTCAGATTGGAGTGCTTACCGGTAAATAGCAAAACACTCACATGAAGTAACTTTAAATAGCTATTTCATATTTCCGAGTCTCCTGACAAATATCAAATTCAAGAAATATGAAACGGTAAGAACTAAGAAGCCATAAAAATGACATGAAAACAACAAATATAAACTTTTTCAAATCAAAGACTACCTTTAAGGTAGTATCGGTTCCAATCGTCTTAAAATATAAAAGACCCATAAATTTTTCAGAAAAAATGATGAGAAAGACGGGGAGCCCTCTCAATAACATTGATAAAGGACCAAATTGAAGCTTACCGCCATTGTTGAAGAGGGATTTGAAATTTGAGGTTGTAAGCTTTTGATTAGTAAAAAGGATGAGGTTAGAAGCAAAATTTGGAAATATGGACACGGTTATCACACGTGTTTAGAGTAGAGAAGAATAGATGAATGGGCTAATACATGAAATCCAACTCAATGAAATGGGTCCACTACATAGTACAACTTATATTGTATCAGGTACAATTAGTTATTGCTGTGTTAGTCCTTTCTTGTTGCCTTATAAATAAGGTTAATAATACGTGTCCTTTCCTTTACCTTGAGCAACAAATACAACAATCACATCATTTTCAATATAACAAAAGATAAATTTTCTTTGGAGTTCAACACCTTACAATAAGTTCTTCATAATAAAAATAATATTCATCAATATGTAAGTTCAAACAATGAATGTGGAATGTCTAAAATGCTATCGAACTTGAAATTGAGGCCTTCTACATTTTCCCATTTTTCCACACACAAAACAAGTTCAACAACTTATTGTCTTTGGTATTACTAATTTCTTTGATTGGTATATGCCATTCGTTCTTTTGTATAAAGAATTAGTTTTAATATATAATTTTTTGACAATATTTAGGGTCTTCCAGTCATTTTAATTGTAGCACAACTTAATAGTATTTTTTGCCAAACACATCAACTTTTTATTATCGGTTTCATCACCTCTATCCAAAGTTGTAACAATTTATTTATAAAATTAATTTTCGCACTAAATTTACACGTTGTTAATTTATAGTTAGCTAATCCAAACAGGCTCTTTGTATGATTTTGAAGCTGAATAATCATACATTAGTTGATCTGCACTTCATCCTTTTCCTGCATGGTCGATCTTTCACTAGCTAGGATAAAGAGAAAACTTATAAGAAGACAATTAAATAAGTAAATTATTTTAATTACAATAAAATAGTGTAACACCCCAAATGCGATAGGTGATGTGGAAAAACTATTGAATATCTTGGCTAGTATACAAATTCTTATAGTTGACATTGTTGACAAATTTTACGTGTACCATTTTTCTTATTAGAAAATAAAATCAATTTTTTTTCTTAAAAGGTAACTTAAGTCAAAAATTTATAATTAAAAGCATGTAAGGTAGATAATAATTTTGGATAGAAATTATTTGACTCCTAATATAGAATTGCATTATATAAGATGAAATAAAGATAGTATATACTTTATTTTACTATAAACTATTCATATTTGTGCATCAATGTTTTGACTTGTTTGATCCTTCAAAACATCTTTTTTTAATTGGTATATTAATTAATAAAAATAAATATGTAAACTAGATACCATTTAAAGAAAATTTTATTCAGAACTACATTTAGGGTTAAAAATTTATTATTATTCTATTTCTGTCTTTGAGGAAGATTAAGAAAAACTATTGATTTTACAAGGAATTAATTACCTAATAAGTATAAAAGAAATATTGTATCATATAAAACGAAATAAATATAGTACACACTTTATTTTTATAAAAATAATTCCTATTCGTACATGAAATCTTTGACTTGTTTTCCATCCTTCAAAGCATAATTTTTCCTCTTACAAAAAAGGTATATTAATGAAGAGAAATAAATATATAGACTAGATACGATTCGGTCAAAATATGATTTTAGGATGAATATTTATTATTCTTTCTTTCTATATTTATGCTAATTAGGAAAAAATATTAATGCCACAATAAATTAGAAGGTAAAAGAAATACTATTTTGATTATATAATAAGTTTAACCATAAAAGGTAAATTTGTTGAAATTTTAGTAACAAAATCCAAATATGACATGAATTTAATGACTTGATTTTTGTTCGAGGTACTTGTCAACTATAAATACAGTGTTATTCTTTTAGATACTTTCAATTACTCTAAGATTCATTCTCTTATCTTTCCTTGTATTAGCCCAAGCCTTTTTTCTTTTTGGATGAATTTTTTGTTAAGAGGAAAAAGGAAACTGTACTTGCAATCAACAACATGCCGATCAAATGGTAACAATTTTGAATTCATTAGAAACATAACACTTTTGAAAGATTTTGGTGTGTATGTTTAAGTGTACAATTTGTTACTTTGTTTGTTGTTAGGATTTTGCATTGGCAGGTAAATGCCGGAACAACAATCAATAGTCAAATACTGATAGAAGTACCTAATTGTGCTGAGAGCATTAATGTTGTTAAAAGAAGGAAGATGGAAAAATACTTTTACCTTTTATAAGCCCATACTCAAAGGTATTTCATTACTTAATAAATCATGTCTGTAAACATTATATAAAGGAATGACCTTTTTTTCCCTCTCGATGGATTGTAAAGATTGAATTTGGAAAGTGTTTTTCCTTTGTAAGTAATCTATAAAAAAGCGAAGAAGTGAATAATCTGGGTCAAGAATAGATCTAACTGTAAGATAATCTATATATCTCGCATTTCTAACTTACACACCATGTCATTTTTAAGAATATTTTTGTGGCCATATACGAGATTTGATTATTGATTGATTTATTTTTTCTTTTACTAGAACAAGCAAATGTATCGGAATTTCCCCAAATTTTTTTGGGGGTTTCACTTCAAGAATAACCCGACAAGTTTTACATGGCACTTAGTAGGCAACGACTGGTTGTGGAAGCAGAGTCATCAATGCAGACGATAATGGAGAACTTACAATCTTATAGAATGAAGCTTGCAGTTAATTGTGAGGTTTGTATTATTGAGATATGCAAACTATTGTTCTTATTGTAAGTGGATGATATACTTATATAGCACCATCAAGATTTTTGTCTTCACAAATACTCATTAAAAATTTGACTGATATAGGAGTTTCAGTATCGACTTGGTGACTTCCGGCTTCGAGTAGACAAAGCTGTTTCAATACATTCTGAGAACTTGAGGGGAATAGTTATGGAGGTATGCAAATACTTTTAGGGATTTATTCTCAGTTGAAGCTTTTTATATGGTTAATCGGTTTTTTTTAAAAGCATAGCTATGTTGTAATGTATTATGTTTTTTTTACCCTTCATGGAGAGGAATTCAATTATTGTACTTTACCTAATTAAAAAAATAAATACTATTATGAGCATGCTTGCCTCATAAGATGTTTGTTTCTTTTGTAGATGTAGTATCTTCCGATTTCCTCATGGGAAATATCACATCTAATTATGAGTGAATTCTTCGGGATATGGAAGGAAACTCTTGGAAAAAGATCATTACCGGGTCATTTTGTGCATGTTGAACCAAATTTTTCAGAGTTTGGCCTCTCTGATCAATACACTTCACAACACACAGTTGTACAATATGCTAGCATCTTGGCTCAAATGGCAGCAACATCTCAATCGTCACAAGCAACTAGAAATTAGAATGTTTTGCTGACGTTATAAGATTTTTCTTTAGCTTCAGAAATGAGTTCTTTATGTTCATTAATTAATTGGGAATATGCACATCAATAGTAAGCAATCTTAAAGCTACTATGCTTTCAATTTAGAATTTATACAACTACTTTTTTTTTTCTTTTTAGTGGGTAATATGAATGTTAAATAATTTCTTTTGTGTGAAAAATTGTACTTAAGATTATATAGACTTTTAAGCCCATATTGCAAGACAAGTAGGGATATTGCCGCAAAGATGCTCACCGAGATGTGGGATATATTAAAGAATATCAACGTCAGATTTGTGGTCTTGATATGCCTGATGAAGAGTTTATAGACACTGATGTTTCTAAGATAGCTATGTTAGGATTTAAGGGATTGTGAAAGCATAAACAATCTAAACATTTATAAATCCTATCAATTATTCATGATCGTAGAACTATATGAATTTCACATAAATCTATTACTATAGTAAATCAGTCAAGAATACATACCCGAATCAGTCATAGTGTTTTTCGAGAATCTTGACTTGAATTGAGCGGAAGTCTTTTTCTTTGGTGTTCTTGAGAAGTTCTTTCTCTCTCTTGACTTACACTTTATGAATAACTTTGACGGATAAGACTATTACTTTATGGCAGAGAGAGGACCCTTTAAATAAGAGAGTTTTTAATATTATTCCCACTTTCCATCATGGTGAATAGTGCAGGTAATGGGTAGTTTTAAAACTACCAAGTAACTCTCCACTTAATGGGTAGTAGGAAGACTTAATGGGTAGTTGGATGTTACTAAGTAACTTCCCCACTTCCCCACTTCTCCACACATATAAGTAATTTCCCCACTTCCCCACTTCTCCACACATATTTAGGATTGAAATTATATTTATTATTAAACCAAAATATAATTAGTGGGCCATAGAAATTTACATTCTCCCACTTGGCGCACGACCTTTAACTGAATGGTTTAATATGCATGTTAATCGTCATGTGCACAATGTTAGATCCAACATTGTTCGTCGTTATTAAGTAAATCAACTAATATGAGTCATTGCGGTTGTACACCACTTTTTTTGGCATAGTCCCTTCCATGCACAACAATATTAGTCTATTGCCTAACACAACCGTTCAAATACATAATGGGTCCACAATAATGCTTAGAATATCTTTATCTAAAACAAAACCTGTCATCGTCATTCTCAACATAACGTATACAAGAGAAAACATGTAATAACAGAAACATATATATAGTTGAGTTCAAAGTGGAAATTGCATAAACATAATAAAATCTTTATAGAAAGTCATTCATTGCTATCAGTAAGACCCATCTAACAACATGTTCAACAACTGTTTTGGGCGGTAATCCTTTCGTCAAAGGATCATCAATCATAAGCTTGGTGCTAATATGTTCAATTGTCACTTTATGTTTATGGACTTCTTCCTTAACTGAAAAGTATTTCAATTCCATATGCTTGGCACCTTTCAAATACTTATCATTTTTAGAGAAGAAGACTACCAGCGGCTTGGAAATACTATTGACTAGCCCAAGTCCTGAAATAAAGTTCCACAGCCAATTAGCCTGAACTGTGGCCTGAAAGCATGCCACAAACTCAGCTTTCATAGTGGATTCAGCTACAATAGACTGCTCCACACTCTTCCATGATATTGATCCTCCAGCTAACAGGAACAAATATCCAAATGTGGATTTTCTTGTATCCACACAACCAACATAATCTGAATCTGAATATAGAATCACATAAAGATGATCAAATTTTCTATAAGTGAGCATATGATCACTAGTTCCTTGCAAGTATCGTGACACTTTCTTCGCAGATTTCCAGTGATCCATTCCTGGATTACTTTGATAACTGCCCAACATTCCTACAACAAAACTGATGTCAGGTCTCGTACATGTTTGGGCATACATTGCACTCCCTACTATTGATGCATAGGGAATATCATTCATTTGCTTATGTTCCAATTCATTCTTTGGACATTGATTGAGATTAAATTTATCTCCTTTCTGAATTGGAACGGGACTTGATGAGCATTTTTCCATTCTAAATCTCTCTAATACTTCATTAATATAGGCTTTCTGATACAAACCTAATAATCATTGTGATCTATTTTGAAATATTTCTATCCTAATGACATAGGATACCTCTCCCATATCTTTCATTTCAAAATTGTTAGAGAGATAACTCTTGGTATCATGCAACAAACCAAGATCATTAGAAGCAAGCAAGATGACATCAATGTACAGGACTAACATAATAAACTTACTCCCACTAACCTTTAGTTATATACACTGGTCAACAGTGTTTTCCTTAAATCCAAAGGTTACAATAGTTTCATTAAACTTATGATACCATTGTCGGGAAGCTTGTTTAAGTCCGTATATTGACTTCTTAAGTTTACACACCATGTGTTCCTTTCCTTTACTAGAAAACCCCTCACGTTGATTCATATAAACTTCTTCCTCGAAATTTCCATTTAGAAAGGTTGTTTTCACATCCATTTGATATAGCTCTAAGTCATAATGAGTTACTAAAGCCATTATAATTCTGAGTGAATCTTTTTGAGTGAAACCTTTTGCAATAGTCTGGCCTTGTGACGTTCGATGTTGCCAGTTGAGTCAGGTTTGGTCTTAAAGATCCATTTACACCCAACTCTTTTGTAACATTATGGTAATTCAACAAGGTCCCATACTTCATTTTGTTCCATAGATTTCAACTCATCTTTCATAGCATTTATCCAAATATCAGAATTATTACTTTCAATAGCTTGTGAAAATGAAACTGGATCATTATCAATTCCCAAGTCAATTTCTGACTCATGTAAATATACCAATTAGTTATCAGAAATAGCAGATCTCTTTTGTCTTCGAGATTTTCTTAATGCTACTTCTTGTGGTACATCTACTGCAGGTTCACTAATTATCGCTTCATTCAGATTAACAGGAGCATTGATTTGTTGTTCTTGTTGATTGTTAGATTGCACAACAACTTTAGGAACAACATCTTTAAAAGAAGTAAAAGGCAGAGGAACTCTTACCCTAACTTCTTTAATTTCCACTTTACGTGGTTCTTCACTCGCACTAACTTCACTATTCTCAATGAATCTAGCATTTCCAGTTTCAACTATTTTTGTACTGTGATTAGGACAGTAAAATCTATACCCTTTTGATTTTTCTGGATAACCCATGAAGAAACCACTAATTGTTCTTGAATCCATTTTCTTTTGTAGTGGGTTATAAACTCTAACTTCTGTCGGGCAACCCCAAACATACAAGTGCCTTAACTAGGTTTCCTACCAGTCCACAGTTCAAAGGGAGTCGTTGGAACTAATTTTCTAGTAACCCTATAAAGTAAGTAAACGACAGTCCTTAAAGCATACATCCACAATGAAAAAGGTAAAGATAAATTACTTAATATACTCCTAACCATGTCCATTAATGTATGATTACGCTTTTCTGCTACACCATTTTGTTGTGGTTTTCCAAGCATTGTGTATTGAGCACATATGTCAGGCTTTGCGAGGAATTTAGCAAATGGACCTAGGTGTTATCCATTTTCATAATATGTTCTATAATATTCACCACCTCTATCTGACCTGATTATTTTCACCTATCTACCTAGTGGTCTTTCAACCTCAGTAATAAAGACCTCTAAGGCATTTATCGCTTGAGATTTCTCATGCAACAGATAGACATACCCATAACGTGAAAAATCGTCAATAAAAGTGATAAGATATTTTTCTTTACTGAAAGATGCAATATCAAAAGGACCACATATATCAGTGTGTATAATTCAAGAAGCTGTGTGCTTCTTGTGGCTCTTTTCTTTCTGTGTGTTGTTTGTTTTCCTTTAATATAATCCACACAAATGTTAAGGTCTGTAAAATCCAAATTTGAAAGAATTTCATTCTTAACTAATCTTTCCAATCTTTCTTTGGATATGTGACCTAAACGTTTGTGCCATAAGAAAGCAAATATTACATTCACCAAACTTCGTTTGATTCCAATATTATGATGCAGAGTTAAGAGTGTTTCGGCAAATAGATTATCAAGATTTAGTTTGTATAAGTTATCACAAAGAGTACCAGTACCAATGAGATAATTATGTTTAAACAAACTAAAACATCCATTACCGAAATTAAAAGAGTATCCACTCGTATCAAACATAGACAAAGAAACGAAATTTCTCGAAAGAGAAGGTACATAACAAGTTTCAAGTAAATCTAAGTGACGCCCAATATTAAGGATCAAACGGTAAGTCCCTATAGCTTTAACTGAAACCTTCACTTTATTCCTCATATACACATATCTTTCATTCTGGTTTATAGTTTGTGTTGTAAGGAATCCCTGCATCGTATTAGAAACATGAACAATACAACCAGAGTCAATCCACCAAGTATTATAAGGAACTTCAATTAGATTTGATTTGAGACATGTAAAAGCACTAGGCTTACCTTTCTTCTTGAGCCATGCCTTAAATTTCAGTTAATCTTTCTGAAAGTGTCCAGATTTTCCACGTAAACGACGCTTATCATTCTTGTGTTCCTTCTTACGTACTTGAGAGGAGGACTCATTAACATTGTGGTGCCTTTGTTTTCCCTTAACATGTTTCTTTCCTTTCTTTCCAGCTCCTTGATGACTTACAAAGTTGATGGAGTGGGTTCCTTGATTCTTGAGCCTTACTTCCTCCTGAACCAACATTTCGTGCAATTCATGCACGTTCCATTTGTCTTTCATGGTGTTGTAGTTCATTTGGAAAGGGCCGTACTCAGTCGGTATTGAATTGATGATGAATTGTACAAGGAAATTTTTTTCCACTTCCATTCCCAAAGACTTAAGTCTCGCTGCTACATTTGTCTTTTCAATGACATGCTCATGCATGGTACGTGAACCATCAAACTTCATGGTGGTCAAAGTACCCATTAGTGTCCCAACTAGAGAATTATCAGCAGTTTGAGAAGATTCTTCCACAAGTTTCAGAATTTTTTTTGCATTTTCAGTTTTGGGAAGAGTAGTCTTAATGTTGCCCGCAATATTCATTCGCTTAAACATTATGTTTAATATGTTAGATGGATCCCAGTGCTTATAATATGACCTTTCTTCAATACTGCTACTTTCAGTAATAACAGTTGGCTTCTTAGTGTAAAGTGCAACATCAAGATCTAAAATTCTGAGATGGAATTTGATCTATTCGCACCAATCTAGGAAGTTAAGACAGTTAAAGGTCGTAACAGAGGCAGAGTGCAAATGAAGAGCAAATGCTGCAAATATAATATGCTCATTTGTTAATACTTTGAGTTATGAATTTTAAACATACTATCAAATTCAGAAATGGTTTATAAATTCTTAAATGTATATTGATGTCCTCCTTTGGGCGAAACATCAAAATACAAATTTAGACATAGTGATGCTTAAATGTAAATTTAACGTAATTCAATAATTTTTAATGTGTCAATCAATAATATTTATTATCTTTGGATAAATAAATAAAACTAACGACAGATCTAAATTATCTCCTTAATATCCAATGGTTTTAAAAATAAATAATCAACCTTTGGGTGATTCGTAAATATCTTAGAACCAAAAACTTCAATATATCCATAAGGGTTATATCAGTTACAAGGATCAAAATAATGGATAATTGAATATACGTTTAATCATTAATATTTTGAATTAATTCTTCAAAGATTAGATCACTTTGAGGATTAACTAATCTCATATACATAGTTCCAAAATAAAATACATCATAATAGTGAATAATTATTTCCCTTAATACTAAACACCTTTATATGGCAAAATTAGTGCAATAATAATGGATAATAACATTATGCATATGTGAATCATTATATATACAGTGATGCTATAAAGCAAAACAAATTATGGATCAACACGTCACTAATTAATTCACATGAGTTCTTTTGAAGGTCATTACTAAAAAAATGTTTTCGTAATTTAAAAGAAAAGAACAAGTGTTCCAATACAAATTCAAGTTTTCAGTGAGTGAAACTCAACTACTCAAAACATAATAATTCGAATCCAGATCAGCCATACAATGAATTCAATACCCATTATTGATTTCAAATTAAGAAAACATTAATTCTATGAAAACTCATTAGTTCTTAAACCTGACTCTGATACCACATGTTAGGATTTAAGGGATTGTGAAAATATAAACAATCTAAACATTCATAAATCCTATCAATTATTCATGATCGTAGAACTATATGATTTTCATATAAATCTATTACTATAATAAATCAGTTAAGAATACATACCTGAATCAGACATAGTATTTTTCGAGAATCTTGACTTGAATTGAGCGGAAGTCTTTTTCTTTGTTGTTCTTGAGAAGTTGTTTCTCTCTCTTGCCTTACACTTTATGAATAACTTTGATGGATAAGACTGTTACTTTATGGCACAAAGAGGACCCTTTAAATAAGAGAGTTTTGTACATTATTCCACTTTCCGTTATGGTGAGTAGTGGAGGTAATGTGTAGTTTTAAAACTACCAAGTAACTCCCCACTTAATGAGTAGTTGGAAGTTATTAAGTAACTTCCCCACTTCTCCACACATATAAGTAATTTCCCCACTTCCCCACTTCTCCACACATATTTAGTATTTAACTTATATTAATTAGTAAACCAAAATATAATTAGTGTGCCATAGAAATTTACAGGCTAAAGATTTTGTGATAGACAATTTGTTTTGTGATTTTAATAGTAGATTATTGAGTTTGGATGAACTATTAGTCATCCTTTATCTAGAATGCTATTAGTACTTGTGAGAATGACTTGATCAACATCTGTAGTACTGTTAATGATAATCTTTTTGGTGATTACTGAGTTTCAGAGCATCATTTGTTTACTACAACTTGTGAAGGATCGACAACCAAAATAAGGAGTCAATCAATGATCAAAGAGGGAACGACACAATTGCAACTTACAAAGGACATGACTCTAGGTAGGAAGATATCTATAGAGATAGGAGATTAGAGTAGAAGGTTAATGAGCAGGATTGTTCTTAATTACTCATATATTATCTT